ATTTAGTTGCTACATTGAACAATGTTTAAATGGGCGTAAAGAATCAGCAACGAATCAGCAAATTTTGCATAAATTCATATTGAATTTTGCTGATTTGACGCTGCTACCTTGATAGAGCTATGAAAAGTCGATGCGGAAATCGGCATGGAATACAGAATCGTAATCATCTTCACTTCATTTAACCCCTAATGACGTCACACGTAATGAATAACGTTCGCAACGTTTTGCATAATTGTTATTCATTTTTTCATTGGAAATATAGGGTGAATGACCTCGATCATTATCTGGTATTGACTCAATACTATTCAGTATAATGATTGGAGCCAAGACAAATCATTGTAAATACAGCCCATCTTTAAACATAAGGTGTAAATATAAATTGTATAGTATAACAGGTTTTTTACAGGTGGTAGGACCTCTTGTGAGTCCGCACGGGTAGGTACCACCACCCTGCCTATTTCCGCCGTGAAGCAGTAATGCGTTTCGTTCGAAGGGTGGGGCAGCCGTTGTAACCATATTTGAGACCTCAGAACTTATATCTCAAGGTGGGTGGCGCGTTTACGTTGTGGATGTCTATGGGCTCCAGTAACCACTTAACACCAGGTGGGCTGTGAGCTCGTCCACGCATCTACGCAATAAAAAAAACAAAAACTTATATATATTTACCAGTCTTCTAACCAGAACACATTACTGCTTCCGGATAGATATAAGCAAGACGGACATAAAGTCTGTAACTACCAGTACTGCTTGCTACCCATACGGACACCAGTAAACTACTATTATTATTATTATTACATATAAAGTAAACTATTATTATTAGTATATGTATGGTAATTGCATATATACGTAAATATGTACGTGTGTATCTGTATATATACACATTTCGCTGGATTGGTACACCACGTGTAATTCGTTTCCAAATGATTCTTGTCTACCTGATGGTTGTTTGGAAGAGATCGCTCTTAGCGATAAGACCGCAAATTGTTTTTTTTTTTTTATTGCTTATATGGGTGGACGAGCTCACAGCCCACCTGGTGCTAAGTGGTTACTTGAGCCCATAGACATCCACAACGCAAATGCGCCACCCACCCCGAGATACAAGTTCTAAGGTCTCAGTATAGTTTCACATTGTTTATTACTCTCTCTCTCTCTTTCTAAACTACCCTACAATACAAGTGTTCCTACTATCACTTCGCACCAGGTGAGCCGAGCTGATATTGTCGTCAATGACAAAGCTATAGGTGCTTCGATAATACATACGTCCATACCTTTCGTAACCTTAGATATTACATAGCAGATACGTGTCAATCAAATATGATAGGTACTTGAAATTTAAAAATCTTTATCTATTATTTACACGCAAAACACCAGCTTTACTTTGACAACTGAAGTATTTTTTATCGTACTATAGACGGTAGACGAGCTTGCGACCCACCCGGAGTTAAGTGGTTACATGTGATCATAGTATCCTTTAAGTTGTCTATACTAATATTATTATTATTATTAATTATAAAGAGGAAAGATTTGTTTGTTTGTTTGTATTGAATAGGCTCCGAAGCTACTGAACCGAGTTGAAAAATTCTTTCACTGTTTGGAAGCTACACTATTCCCGAGTGACATAGGCTATAATCTTTTTTGAAAAAAATTAGGGATCCTTACTAAAACTCCAATAATGTAACTCAAGGTCTAAAAAAATTACCTAAAATATTCTTTACATCGCGTGCGCTGCGAAAACTATTGATGATAGAATAAAATAATGTATTACGACTTTGCAGAACACATTATTATTTACAAAAAGTGTCGCGACAGCATATGTCTTATACTATTATAGTTATGCCGCAATAAGTGTTCTTTTATTTTAAAAAATAAAACAACGTCAAATGTCCTTAAAATTTTTGTTAAAAACCAAACCGGAGCCGAAGCGGGTCGCTAGTAGTGTATAAAGGGAGTGTCAAATCTTTTAACCCTAAATGTATAACAGCTTCGATTCCTTAATAATTCCTTAATTGCGAATCCTTAATATGTTTGGACATATCATCCGTAACGAAAGCTCATTGTAACGATTAATGGTGTAGACCAGCCTTTCCCAAAGTGGCCGATGACGCCCCGTTGTGGGCGCTGCAAGCCTAAAGGAGGAGCGGTTAGAGACACGGAAAAAAGCGGGGGCGTTGTGTAGAGGCTTGGAAGGCGATTTGTAATTTAATCAAGGCGGACTGGGACACCGACTGAGCTCTCGATATAGTGGTTCTTAAGAAGGTGAAAAAATGCAGTAGCCAAAATAAAGTTTGGGAACCCCTGGTGTAGACAGACGGTCAACGCTCTCGCGGCCAATCACCCACAAGATGGGCAGACTTTATTAATAAGTCATCAACAAAGTGTTCCCTTATTGAATGTACACGTACCGCCACCAAGGCATAAAGACAATACATAACCACGACCACTCCGCCAGGAGTATGACAGAGAAGAAGAATAACCGACAGTAGGCTGAATGGCGATATACCATTACACTCAAAAAACGCCCTACTATCAATACCAGTAATACCGCAGTTACATATTTGTGATTTTCATTTTTATTACACGATGGTATGTCTTCATCGTGAAAGTCGTCGGGAGCACTTCTTTCAATATGTCGTGCCGTCGTGATTATTATTTGGATCGTGGCATAGTGATATCACACATTAGGAGTAAGTACACTAGTCACCTTTACTGCGAAGCAGAGGACGCCTCAACCGTTTTAAACTTCAGTCTACCACACGATACAAAAGTAAACTATTATTTGTACAATAAAATTAATACATTCTTGGAATTCCTCGGTGGTGTTCTGAAATGTAATCTATTGTAACATTTTAATATGTAGAAATGTTAGAACAATACACCTAAGGTCGGCCGGTCATTGTCAGTTACACTGAGTTAATTAGAGTACTTTAAAGCATTTCCGTTGTAATAACTTTATTAAATTTGAGAGCTAATGACCGCCGCTAGAAAAGATGAGTTCTTCATTAGAAAATGCTCACTGGAAGACACAGCATGCAGAACCAGCAACGTAAGCCAACAACCTGGTGAAAAACCTTGAGAGACCTATATTCAACAGTAGACGTGTTTTAGCTAAGGACATTTAGCATCACATTTTTACATAAGAAGTGTAATTTTGGGAAGGTTCAACAATTTTCATCTATATAGTAAACAGGAGGCTTAACGTGAAGTACCATTATTATTCACTTTCATGTTTTAGTACTAATATCCAGTTTGTATTTCATGAAATAAATACATTTTTGTGATATTTTCAATTCAATTTTTGTAGTGTGTTCTTATACTTTAGAAAAGGGAAACACTAGCTTTTATGTAGTAGGTTTCCTGTATTTACAAAGTATAATATTACATCTATGTGTTTAAATTTAATAAACAAATTGAAAAACATGTATTATTTTTTGTTTCTCTATTGGTAGGACCTCTTGTGAGTACGCGCGGGTAGGTACCACCGCCCTGCCTATTTCTGCCGTGAAGCAGTAATGCGTTTCGGTTTGAAGGGTGGGGCAGCCGTTGTAGCCATACTGAGATCTTAGAACTTATATCTCAAGGTGGGTGGCGCATTCACGTTGTAGATGTCCATGGGCTCCAGTAACCACTTAACACCAGGTGGGCTGTGAGCTCGTCCACCCATCTAAGCAATAAATAAAAAAAAAGAAATCCCAACATTTTATGGACAAGAGAAGAACAAAAAATATTTGAATTACAATTAAAATATAACAATCATACTTCATTGCCTAATTGTTACTTTATCTGTTAATAGTATATCCAATATGAAATTATAAAATTTAAAGATAACAGTCCATGTTTACACATTAATTAACTATTGACGAAATATTACTTAATGTCCGTACAAACATGCCCCTTTCTTATTTTCCTCTTTAATAACAGGACAAACAAGTTTCCTAAAATCTTTATCTCCGACTGTCAGGATACTAACTAAATTTTAAAGTTTATACACAATTTAGAAAATTTCCCAAGTTATGATTTTTACGCAATTTTCAACATTGTAACATTTTTAAATGTGTATAATAAATTATATAATATAATAAAACAAATGAACTGCTCAATTTGTATTTTTTCACAATTCCACTCTTAAGGAACAATTTGAATATGTTGTATTACTGCCTATTTATAAAAATTTTAATAACAAGACATCCTAATAATCTTATATCAATTTTTTATTTATTATTTGCCGTTAATTTTGTACAATATTATTATTTAAATATTTTTTTTGCCCTAGTAGGCAGACTATCTTACAACCCACCTGATGTTGAGTGGTTACTGTCACTCATGGACATCAGCAATATCAGTGGCAGAGCTGAGCTGCTGCGTACCGTAAATCATATAAGCTAACATCTTCTTCTTAATGTAATACAGAGTAGTCAGCTGTCGATGGATAAATAATCTAATATAACATAAAAATTTTATAAACTCCATTATTAAACTAGGCAGGCTCTTGTCCCTAGTTTGGTAGACCCCCATTTTTCATTGATTCATGAAAAACAACACAGATATAGCTGATCAGAAGAAAAAAACAGTCATAAATATGATTGTTTAGTTGTTTTTATTTTAAGGAAAACATATTATATATATATATATCTGATACAAACTCTCAATCTCATCTCAATTCCCATCAATACCATTGGTCTTAAGTTTATTGGTGGATTCAAATTAACTGCAGACAACTCTTACCAAATATATGTGTGGTTAAATTTTAGTTAGTTAATAAGTAAGCTAACAGAAAGTTAGTAATTTCTAATTAAATAAAAGATCTGTTTTTCTTTTCGTGAATCCTACATATTATTTCTAACATAAAAAAGTTGGCGTTTCGCTATCGATTACCTCGTGTATATCAATAACATTAATCCGCATATAGTTCGAAGCGAACTAACATTTGAAATGTAGCCAAATGATAATCAAAATAGTCTTTGGTTTCATCTCCAAAAAATGTTTATCAAACTATTACTTACGCGAAATCTTGAAATTATAAGGCCCATTTTTCTTCTATTTAGTCTGGAACTGTTGAAAACAGTAATAAGATAGTTTAATAGCTTTCCGGTACTAAATATACTGCTGGCGCACAACTATGGTGACGAATTGATATAAATTGAAATTATAACCTCAACCAATATTAGTTTATATAAAATTAAAAAGTACTCTATTATTTTTAATTTCAATTACATGTCGCCGCTACGTTTCAAGTCCGTATTTTTACATCGAAATTTTAATGAACTTCAGAAGTTAAATTCGACGAAAACACCGTTCACTTTCTCTACCTCAACAAGCTACATTTGACATTTCACTTGATTGACGTTTTGATTCAGATTTTGTTGACGGATTCCGATCATGAAGTTTCGGGATGAGTAAAGGTAAATTTATTTAAAGGCTCAAATGCCAATAAGGTGACATAAAAGTTCCTAACACAATAAAAATAACTAATTTTTTTTTTTTTTTAATTCTTGTCGAGGTTTTTTATAAAGATTATTTAACGGCTACTTGCGATTTTTGGTTTTAACGATATTTTATAATCCCAATATTTTTTATTTATTGCCTTTGTAGGCAGACGGGCATACGGCCCACCTGATGGTGAGTGGTTACCGTCGCCCATAGACTTCAGCAATGCCAGGGGCAGAGCCAAGCCGCTGCCTACTTTTGAAATATATTCAATATATATTTGTAATGTCATTGTAAGTACATATATATTATAAATAGATATAGATCATACTCAATCATGGCCGCCAATAATGCCAGGTGCACGTCAAGCCGCTATCCACCGCTTAGTACCTATTCTACCAAAACCTCGTTTGAGAAATAACATGACAGCATTCAGGCATTTCAGCGCTGGGGCAAGCACCATGATCGCAGGTAGTTTAAAGAATTTTTGAGTACGAGTAAGCTGAATTAGTTTTTCGTTTGTCATCTAGTAAAATACCATGTGTCTTAATATAATAATATTATAAAGCCAAGGTAGTAAGGTAGTAAACGACCAATGTGGATGCTTCAGTGCGCGCTTCGAGTGTGCTACTGGTGCTTTTAGTACTGTGTGCTTAGTGCGTGCTTTTTAACTTCTCGATCGCGTAAAAGTTAACTCAAACTTGAAACAGCGCCTCTAGCAGCAAACGTAGATCGAGAAATTAAAAAAACTCACACACACGGAACTATTGTGATAATACGAGGCCCATCTAGAGGCGGTATGATAGGGTCGTGTTATTTTCAAAGTGACGAAGGATTTCATAACGAAAGGTTATTGGAGTAAGATGATTTTAAGAGATTTACTGATGGTACCTAGGATGTCTTATGAGTCCGCGTGGGTAGGTATCACCACCTTGCATATTTCTTCCGTGAAGCAGTAATTCACCAGCCGTTATAACTATTATGAGACTAGAACTCATATCTCAAGGTGGGTGGCGGCATTTAAGTTGTAAATGTCTATGTGCTCCGGTAACCACTTACCAGGTGAGCCGTGAGCTGGTTCACTTATCTAAGCTATAAAAAAATGAACTAGTTGATAGAAAATATTGATAATAATTATAAAGCCCCAAAAACTTTTTTAATTCCAAATTGCTGATTCCAAATTACAAATGTAAGATAAATAAAAACATCAATTTTGATCAAGTGATTCTATTTATAAAAGTATTGTTATTTCAAGTATTGGTATTTGTTTGTGTAAACATTACGAAATAAATTCAGAATGGCGTCCTGATCAAGGTTTCCATTTGACTTCATTATACCAAAAAACTATGTTTCTTAACAAAAAACTTCACGTAGGTTTGAAACTAAGACAGACTGTACAACTGAACCATTATTTTTACAAAAAAGCAATGTCGTTACAAATATTTTTTCTTCTTCATTTTCAAATTTAATAGCTAACAATCTCGCCAGTTTGCCGTGAAGCAGGGAAGTCTAGTCACATCACTCGAATCCGTTCCTACTTGTCTACCATCGGTATCAACACAACGGCACATCCCTCGCCGGCATTGTATGCGACGGAAATTACCGTTCTTACAACAGACTGGTTTTTCAAGAGCATCTGCCATTACGAGTGATGTTTGTGCACAATCTGAAACATTTCAAACATTTACATTGTACAAATATGAAGAAGTATCGATATCAATCATAGATATTATTCATTTAATATTCAGTGTATTATCTATGGTTAGCATTCTAAATGACAATAACTTGAGAATGTCTTGAGGACAATTTGGAGGGAACGTGAGGAGCGAAGCTGTGTAATTTGTTTTATTTTGTTCAATAAGTTTTTCTTCAGCTTTAAATGTGTAATAACTTCTCGGGTTCTTACAAAATGCCTACTGAAAAGTCTTAGTAAATCACCAGCATTTTACTTGATCTATACAGTCATTTCATTTCATTTCATACCTTTTTTTTGCCTGCCTAAGCTGATCGCCTTGAGAGGCTATTTCAACGGAACCTTAACTAGTAGATGAGCTCACGGGGCTCAAACCTGACGACGTTGCTAACACGAACCCTAGCAAGGGCCGTGCTTCGCAGAATCTACCACCGGATCGGAAACGCGACCCACTGAGAAGATCCGGCGAGAAACTCAGTGGGCTGTGTCTGAGGGTTGATTTACTCGTCGAGCCCTTCGTTGCAAGCGACGGGTTCGACGAGAACGGTAACCGGTGCTTGAGGTACCTAAAAGCACCGGTAGTGGATCGGGAGGATCCGAAATGACGTGTTTGGGGCGACGTCGACTGCTTCCCATTCTTTCCGCAGAATCGGGAATGATTTCATCCCAATTGATTAAAGTCTTAAATTAATCGATCATTATCTCGTTTCGATTTATTTCACTTTTCTTATTATAATAGAATGCTAGAAGAAAATATATGACTTGGCTCAAAGGTTTTGTTAACAGGACATAAAATCTTTACAAAATATATATATCGAGATTCTGGGAATTATACCACATAAAACCTTGATAGTTTCCACAGAAAAAAATGCTACTAAGATTTGCGATTCACCAATAGGTGGCTCAGCATTTTGTTTTATGAATTCTACTTACTACAATTCATGGCTTCATATTCTGGCGTATCTGGTTTTGCTTCATAATCTTTTATCTGAACGCCTCTTTGATCGGCACATATTTTCCTGTAAATTGGAAATAACACATACCATTTAGGTTCCGAAATATAAAATCGCCATTGAAATCTTTTCACAAACACTTCCGCAAGTTCTCTCTCGATTTCAAGATCTCTCAAGCTTCTAACTTTACTTGTGCAACGCATTTCAACAAAACTAATAAAATCTACGAATGTCTAAAGAGTGATTGTTCACAAGATCGTCTGTGCGAACGAAGTTTCTGATGTAAGAATACTTTACCTGTCGCCAACTAGTCAATTCTGTTTTACAGAGTTTTCACCCACTCCGCAGGCAAAATTACAAATTCAATTAAAATAAAAATCTAGTAATAACTACTTTTACGATTTACTTTCGCTTTTCCTATTGTCCTTATAAAAGCTATAAACTAAACTAACTAGGTATATAAACTAACATAAAAATCCCAAGGATTTCGGAGTTTCGTCTTCCATATCGAGCCTCATTTCTTATTTCTACCTCATTTCTAAAGAAAAGTTTACGATAAATGTGAGGAAGTATCGATATAGATCATAGATATTATTCACTTAATATTCAGTGTATCTATGGTTAGTATTTTAAAAGACAATATGACTTTTTGGCGGGAACGCGAGGAGTAAAGTTGTGTGATTTGTTTTATTTTGTCTATTTAGTGTTTCTTCAGGTTTAAATGTGTAATAACGGTGGCTTATTAACTGTTTAATATCTGTGAAAGTGCACAAATATGGGAAAATGAAACAAAGCCGCATTTCTAAAGGAAACCAAAAACATATAATACCAGTAGAGCGTAAATAAAATAGACTTTGAAACTGCATTTTAATTATACGGTTTTAATTTATGATACTCACATTCCATCACTGTTCTCGAGGACAGTACCGTAGGTTCCGTCAGGCTTGCACTCTGGGAAGCTGTTGAAGTAATCCACAATGAACCCATCTTCTATGCTCTGCAAGAACATGTCTATCTTCTCCGTAACGTCTTTGAGACAAGGCGTCGTATACTGGTAGGGCGGTTCGCCTCTACTGAATTCGGGGAAGAAATCCAGACGAGGATTGTCTGTAGTTCAAAAAGATACACTGATTTATTATACGTTCGCATCCCCATTTGGGTTTCTCGAGCTCCAAATGGATCTCATTGGATTTTAATCCATTGCATTTCAGATTTTAAAAAATCATTTTGTTGACAGTTAATGATAAATTTTGAAGTGCATACATTTTTTTTAATTGTATATTAGAGTAGACGAGCTCACAGCCCACCTGGTATTAAGTGGTTACCGGAGCCCTTAGACATCTACACCGTAAATGCCGCTACCCACGTTGAGATATGAGTTCCATAGTTACAACGGCTGTCCCACCCTTCAAACTGAAATGCAGTACTGCTGCACGGCAGAAATAGGCAGGGTGGTAGTACCTACCCGTGCGGACTCACAAGAGGTCCTGCCACCAGTAAAATCAATGGTATCCAGTAGTATCATAAAATACCAGGAGCCCCCGTAATTTCCGTGGGCCCCGTTAGAAACTTAACAGCTTGGTGATTAGCAAAGTTGAGTTTGAGATAGATTCAAAGAGCTGAATTTTCTTTCTTCCTTGAGTTTCCTTTATTTTATTTATTACTACTGTTGGACTTTAGCAATGCCAGAGTCATAGTCAAGACGCTGCCTACCGCTGAGTACTCTCCCTAAACCCTTGAAGATACAAATGCCTAAGCGCTCAAGACATGAATTAGAGAAGCTCATAATTGCGGGTCACATAGAGGGCAAGCATGCCGTGGGCAGAACACCAGCCAGATGGTCAGATCTAGTAAGGGAAGCACTTGGTGGTAGTCTGTATTAAGCAGTCCATGCCACCCATGATCGAGCACAGTGGAAGAACGTCACATGTGGTCGCGATCCTCAGTAGTGAGGGAACGATATAGAAGAAGAAGCGCTCAAGAAACACCCTGGTAGTCAGTTCTTTGCAAACCCGGATTTTACATGACACAAAAGATCTCTGGAAACGCACTGCGAATGCCGTATACAGTCTTTCACAAATCTCCACACTACCGACTCGGGATGTATGTTAAAATGCCTTCCCTAATCCACAATAGTGCGCATACTCACAGCATTCCAACTCTGTGACCGGCTCCTCGTCGAGGTCAATTTCTTTTCCATCTCCTTCCTCAATGATGCCCGTTACGGTATCGACACAATAGCAAATATTGCCGATACACTGGATCGGATGGAAGTTACCGTCAGCCGTGCACCTAGGAGTCAGGACCGGCAGCCTAACCCCTGTCTGAATGGATTTCTTGATCTTCCAACTTAAACGGGAGCATCCTGTTGAGAAAAAAAATCCAAGGCTATAAACGAGTAATACAACGAACAAGTAACATATTACGGTATTTGCATTCCATTTATTTATTTATTTATTTATTGCTTAGATGGTTGGACGAGCTCACAGCCCACTTGGTGTTAAGTGGTTACTGGAGCCCATAGACATCTACAACGTAAATGCCACCACCCACCTAGAGATATAAGTTCTAAGATCTCAGTATAGTTACAACGGCTGCCCTAAACTTCAAGCCGAAATGCATTACTGCTTCACGACATAAGTAGGTAGCCCTTAATAATGTCGTTACGACGTATAAGATTTTAGCGGGATTGCTTCTATTATGGGAGACATTAAATCTCTGTAATACTGGTCCGAGGGAGAATTCACGGCAACAATTACGGAACAAGAATACACGGCAATTACTGGTGGTAGGACCTCTTGTGAGTCCGCGCGGGTGGGTACCACCACCCTGCCTATTTCTGCCGTGAAGCAGTAATGCGTTTCGGTTTGAAGGGTGGGGCAGCCGTTGTAACTATACTTGAGACCTTAGAACTTGTATCTCAAGGTGGGTGGCGCATTGACGTTGTGGATGTCTATGGGCTCCAGTAACCACTTAACACCAGGTGGGCTGTGAGCTCGTCCACCCATCTAAGCAATAAAAAAAAATAAAAAAAACATATACACGGCTCTACTATGAGATTACCCATCCGTGATATTAACTTAATAATAAAACTAACCACAGTGCATATTCCGTTCTGTTGATGAACCTAGATTCAGGACTTCGCCGAAAATCCTCTCACCTTCTTCTGATTGACAAAAACACCTGTAATAAATAAATCAAATGAAACTTGACAAATCTGACTTGAGTGATGTACTTTTTAAATTGAAACAGGTCATAGATCGTTTTAGCTGTTAGCTAATTCCACCCCTCCTGGCTGAGCCTTTGCTCGCCCACCTGTCCTGGTGAAACTGAAAAGGCCTCCGAGCCACCAGTAATCCAAAAGCTCCACGATACCCTCCACGAGGCCAAGAATTTCAGTAGATGTAGAGCAGTCGTACGGAAGAGATTGATGCATCGAGGGAGTCACGACCCACAGTAATGAGGAGAACGACGCAAGGAGGAATGAAACTTAAGAAATAGTTTTATTTAACATTTTGAGGTCGTCGTGGCCTGAAGGATAAGACGCCCGGTGCATTCGTCTCTTGCGATGCGATTGTGCCTGTGTTCAAATCCAGAGAGCAAGTACCATTTTTTCTGGTCATTTATATTCACTAATGACTTCAACGGTGAACATTAGCATCGCGTAATAAAAATCAAACCCGCAAAACATATAATTTGCGTAATTACTGGTGGTAGGACGTCTTGTGAGCCCGCACGGGTATATACCACCACTCTGCCTATGTCTGTCGTGAAGCAGTAATGTACTATAAAATTGAGACTCAGAATTCATGTCTCAAGGCGGGTAGTGGCATTTACATTGTTGACGTCTATAGGCTCTGATGGCCACTTAACAATAGGTGGCCGTAATCTCATCATTAATCATAGCAATATATATATAAATAAATAAATAAAAAACATTAAAACATAAAAAACATTAATGTGTGTATGTATGTGTATATGTATGTGTACATATATGTATATTATGTATTTCACTGGAATGGTAAACCGCGCGTAGTTCGTTTCCAAATGATTCTTGTCCACCTGATGGTTGTCTGGAAGAGATCGCTCTTAGCGATAAGACCGCCAATTGTACTTTTTTGTGTTTAATGTATCGCACTGTTTATTTGTTTTTTGGTGTACAATTAATAATACTCTCTCTCTCTCTCTCTCTCTCTCTCTAAAACTATACTACCTTAACTCTTCTAACTATATGAGATGAATGCCTGGGAAAGCAGTTCGTCGCAAGCGACATCGTATACTTAATAACTTAATAAGTAATTTCAAATATTTTCTTGTTACTAGTGTTAACCAATATTGCCGGAAGGCATCAAAATTCCTAGCTTATGAGTAAGGAGAATTCATTCGTAAGCCTATGTCACAAAATATGATTCACAGAAACAGCTGAGAAAAATTGTAATATTAAGAAAACGTTCAAGTTCCGCAACAGTTTATCTGGTATCATTAAAAGGAAACTCTGTTAAAATACTCAAATATTCTATATCCATTTAAATTATCAAGTTTTCTAGTTGTTTCTACAAAAGTCGTTTTAAATGTCAAAACAGAGGAAATACGTACGTGTGCGCTGGTATACAATAAAACGATGCAAACTTTCCTTTGCCATCGCAGTGTGGTCTGTGCTCTAACGCTCCTACTTGACCGGACCTCAAACGAGCATCAAAATTGTCTTGAGCCGTGTGACAATCTGACGTCACTGAAAAGTGGAATAAACATAATAAAAATTCCGACCAGATCAGTTAAAGATTTGCGCGCCAAAACAAGCTCCCGTTGCCTAATGGCAAAGAAAAAGCTATGAAGAGAACGGCACGTTGAGTGCAATGCAATACCTACACGATCTTCCGATAAAATGAATTTAACTCGTATTTACAATTTTTTATTTATTTATTTCAAATTACTTTTATGAGGTTATTAACAAAGTACTATTCCGATTCTAGATTTAATTTTTCCATCATAGCAGAGTTCTTAGCAATTACCTAACTATATATTTTTGTTCAAATCAATTACTTTGAATTGGTATCTAATCTTCTACTAAAACTCTTCACCAAAATACCAATTAAAAATCAATATAATTATTATGACTTCAAGTGGACGCTAAGAAACTTCCCGATCACAATTCACATCTTCACTTTTTTGAAGCCACGGCACGCTATGGCACGCTGTTACAGCCGTTTCAACTATTCGATAGAAACATTATCGACTGTTCTAGTCTCTAGACTCGTCCTGTGTATTTCGAAAACATTATAACACTCGCGATACGACTGGAATATTCGAGAATGTTCTAGAGCGTTTGAGAGACTTTCTCCTTCTTTCGATATCCTTTTTTGCTATCTGACGACAGATGGCGTTACTCGGTATAACAACAGCTTTTCGCATAGTTTGCACGTAATTTACATACTTCTCCGGCAATAGCTGTGCCCATCGGTGTCATCTCGAACGCAGGTGAGGCCATCGCCGCAGCGGCCCACATTAGCACCGGTACCAGGTCCACCGGCACTGCAATGGTCTCCCTCTTCTACATGCCCACAATATTCAACAAAATAAAAGGAGAACGTTAACAATGTAAACGAAGTCAATTAAATGTATTAATAAGGATAGTTAAAAAACTATTGGTCAGATCTTGATACTTGGGACCACATGAGAAGCACAAACTAGTTTATATGTAAATAAAAAGTATCTATTTTTTCTATCTATGCTAGGTGCTTAGTGCGAGTTTTTTAACGTTTTCGATAGCGTAAAAGTTAGGTCATATTTGTATGGAATAGGATCGTTTGCGTACGTTTGGCGTTAGAGGCGCTGTTCCAACTGCATACTAAATTGGCTTAACTTTTACGCTATCGAGAACGTTAAGAAACTCGCACTAAGCACACTGATAGCCTTAAGAGGCTGTTTCAGCTTCTCCTTGACGTGTAGATGAGCTCACGGGGCGCTAACTGGGAGTGTTGCTAACACTGGCCCTAGCAAGAGCAGTGCTTCGCAGAATCTACCACCGCATCGGCAACGCGACCCTCTGAGAAGATCCGGTGAGAAACTCAGTGGGCTTTGTCTATGAGTTACTTCACTCGTCGAGCCCTTCGTCGCAAGCGACGGGTTCGACGAGTACGGTGACGGGTGCTTGTAGTACCTAAAAGCACCGTTAATGGATCAGGACGATCCGTTATGACGTGTTTAGGGCGATGACGACTATTTACCATTCGGTCTACAGGATCGGGTATGAAAAAGAATCATCAAAATCAGTTCACATAGAATAAAATTACGACCAATCGAATTTAATCTACAGTTTTTTATTTATTTGCATTATAAAATATTAGATTAGCAATATATTGATTTAGTTATGGCGACGATAGCAGTATATTCGGAGAAGTTTCACGCGAAACTAACCAATAAACGTTAGGCAATAAGGGCAACAGTTGCAGAGCGTCGGCGATGGTAACCAGAGACCGCTGTGAGTGGCGTTGTTCACAGCACAGTGTATAGGGGGCTCAGGGCAACCGTGCTCTCGGATGTGTTTCTGCAAAATTTAACACTTTCTTATGGAGGGTAGAGGTAGGGAGTACCCTGTTGAATAGGGGACAATACTGGATTGAAGTGAAGTGTGACGTTGTTTTTAAAATCTTTCCGCTTGCTATTATGGGGCTACCTTAATATGCTCCCTTTCAGCGGACACTTTCTAATATACGGAAATGGTGCTCCTTACATCTATCCTCCGTCCACGTTCTTTGTAGATCACGGGAAGACGGCTAAGATATAATAAGTGTATAATCTATGACGGCTAAGAGCAACTTTGACAGTTATCAATTTGATGACAGTTGATCTTCTTTTTTAAGGGATTTTATGACCCGGTACTAAGACCTTTAGGTCAAGACTTATTTAAATTTTAATGATACGTAACTTTTTTATATGAAAATGATATTATGAAAATATAATGAAAACGAAATGAAATGAAATGAGATGAGATGAAGTATAATCTCAGTAAAATGGTAGTCATTTACTGAGACTTTTTCAGTGGACTTTTTGGAAGAGCCCGAAAAGTTACGTTCAGTGGCTTTATTTCATTTTCCCACATTTGTGCACTTTCACAGATACTAAGCAGTTAATAAGCCACTGTTATTACACATTTAAACCTGAAGAAACACTAATCAGACAAAATAAAACAAATCACACAACTTCACGCCTCGCGTTCCCGCCAAAAAGTCTGTTTTGTAATACAGATAATAACAACAAAGATGTAAAAGGAGCCACATGAGGTCTACTGAGTCTTTTTGGAGTACATAATATATAGGTTGTTTCACCCTTCTATTGAAACTGCTTCCCGGCTAAAACAGAAAGGATGGCGGCAAATACCAACGCGACTCACATTAAACTTTGTTCTACAAGTTTACGCGGCTTATTTAAATTGACAGCGGTATTTGTCCGTATTCATGACTACAGGTAACGAATTCTAATAGTTTATATATTCTAATAGGTTATAGTGCTGGTCACCCTATTTATGTTAAATTGAATGAATTGTAACACTCTCCTTATTAAGATTTAAATTTTTTTAATAAACTTTTTGTGTTCTCATTCTTAAATTTATCATAATACCTAGTTTAAATTAGCTGTAAGTTTCTCCTGCAAAATTTGTATGCCAACAGGCAGAATGTAGTGGGATTGAATATATTTTATACTAAGACCATACTTGTACCTGCATTCTATACAAATAAATGAATTATTATTATTATTATTCTTTTTTTAAATTTTTATTTTCTCAGCTTATGCTGGTAGTACTTTAGTGACATTTACGGACTCGGTCAAGTAAATGTCACGGTTTCTTGGGGTTGGCTAACTATTGCATTATGTGGTTGATCATATTCTATTTGCAGAAACTTTCGTACGATTCTGCATGTGTTTAATATAGCATTATTATTATTATTATATTATTATTATTGTTATAATATTATTAGTACGAAATCATAGATTATAATACTTAATATTACTCAATATTTAAATTAGACATGAAACAAAATAATATTATCTGATTCCGAGCATTTCAACAACAGAAAATTAATTTTCTGTTTAAACAAAACGTTCGATCAGGTATTGTCAACCATTTAAAATGCTACAATTAAATGAGACTAAAATGTTTTCAATCTCGAACCTAGATAGCAAGCAATCAGTGATTCAAAAAATCCCCACAATACTAAACCTAACCACATCGTATTAAATATCTATATAAAAAGATTGCAGGTTCCGCAGTAACGTAACCTATGCACCACTACTCACTTCACAAAATCCTAATTCGCACAAAATTTTTGACTCGACTAACTTCAAACAAAACAAAAACAAATATAACCTAAAATACGCCATATTTTTATCGACACTTGAATTACACTGATTGCTATTTTAATCAATTACCATTTAGTGATTATTGATAAGGATAATTCATATTTAGATTATCATCATTGTTAAGTTTCAAGGAAATATGACCTTTTATTGAAACAATAAAGCGTGTACGAACCTTCAGTGGTACGAACACACAAATCAATGTTGTTCGGTAACTAAAGATTCCTTTTTTTTCCTACCTAAGCTGATAGCCTTGAGAGGCTATGTCAGCGTCGCCTTAACTAGTAGGTGAGCTCACGGGGCTCAAATCTGATGACGTTGCTAACACGAACCCTAGCAAGAGCCGTGCTTCGCAGAATCTACCACCGGATCAGAAACGCGACCCACTGAGAAGATCCGGCGAGAAACTCAGTGGGCAGGGTTAATTTACTCGTCGAGCCCTTCGTCGCAAGCGACGAGTTCGACGAGAACGATGACCGGTGCTTGAGCTACCTAAAAGCACCGTTAGTGGATCGGGAGGATTCGAAATGACGTGTTTAGGGCCACGTCGACTGCTTTCCATTCTTTCCGCAGGATCGGGAATGTAAAGATGCCACAGAGCGAATGTCGTCATAGAATTAATTTACGATGTGAAAGTGTCAATTGCATTAAAATAACTTGTTTTTCCTACCTATTCGCTGGTAGCCTAAGGGGCTATACCCACCTACGCCCGGAAGGGTAAGTGAGCTCACGGGCTCAACCTGAGAGAATTTGCTAACACTAGCCCTAGCAAGAGCAGTTCTTCGCTGAATCTAGGAACGGATCTTTTTTTTTAGGATTGAAGGATTACTGGTGGCCCGGAGGCTTTTCCAGTTTCACCAGGACAGGTATGCGAGCAAAGGCTCAGCCAGGAGGGGTGAGATTTGTTAACGGCTGCCTAACAACTCAAGAGCAGCTGCTTCGCGAATGAATCTACTACCGGATCGGAATCTCGACCCGCTGCGAAGACTCAGCGCGAAACTCAGCGGGCAAAGGTTTTGGGTTGGTTCGCCTGTCGAACTCTTTCTTCGTTGTAATCGATAAGTTCGATGAGGTTTAACTGGTGCATGAGAGGCCTAAAACACTGAACGAACTCACGGCCCACCTGATGACAAGTGATTACCGGAGCGCATAGACATCTACAACGTAAATGCCGTCACCTGCCTTGACTTATGAGTTCTAAGGTGTCAGTATAGTACAACGGCTGCCCCACCCTTCAGACTTCAAACTGTACTCCTGATTATCGTATTCTGTCAATAAGGCACATTGTTTATGACCTCCGGGAAACAACAGGCGGATAATGAGACACTTCACAATATAAAAAAAGGGTGCGTGTACTTATGTACGCGCGTAAGAAGTTATACTTAATTTTAATTTTTTATTTTTTTTTTTAAATATGAATTAATTAATAATAAATATTTAACGTTAATAATTTAATAATATTTAGTATGAATTATATTAAATAATATTTTTGTCATTTATATTACTAAAAAATGAATGCTAATAACCCTTTTTTTTACGAGTGTACATGCGCGAAAGTTCACCTGCGGCTATATTCAGACTCGCCAAGCTACGTCGGTCGTATTGTAATGAGCGATTTAGTGGGCAACTTCATTCTGTTAATTTTGTGTCACGGTGCGGGCGCATCGTAAAATTTCACTCTCATCAATTTTTCATAACGCGCCTAAAGAAGTATAACTTCATAATTAAAATCTTAGTCTTCAAAGAATTATAGCCTTTCGGATGTGTGACAGGTGAAAATTGCATTAAATAAGACCTCATGCCGACAGACTTAGAGATGACCTGAAAGTTTGTGTATCTTTTCAAGGTGGGTGGCGCATTTACGTTGTGGATGTCTATGGGCTCCAGTAACCACTTAACACCAGGTGGGCTGTAAGCTCGTCCACCCATCTAAGTAGGTTTAGTTTAAACTGGCAAAATCGCATCTACAACTATAGATGCGAATATTTGGGTGGTGCGTTCGTCACATCCTAATCGATAAGAATATAATGAATCAGCTGAGAACAACGCTTATCAAAATTAGCTCTTGCTTTTACTGTAGGTTCGGTGTTTGTGGAACAGCAACATACAAGAAATCTGCGGAACGATTTTTCTTCATTTTAATATTAGTATCAGAATTATTAATATCAGAATCAGTGTCTTCATTCCACTCAGCCATTTTATAACACTATAGATGCCTACTTTTGTTAACAATTAATTTTTTACTTAATTTTACCTAATAATTATCTCTATTTACTGACATTTACTATAAATTACATTTACTTTGACAGAAAACAACAGCTGTTAATTTCGAGCAGCCATTTTAAAAAGAACGGCTTAAATCCAACTCATGGCTTAAACGCTCCCTCATGGTAGTTTAAGCTTTGCGATTAACTCTGAAGGGCAGTTTAACTTGATTGAAATTGCGAGTTGATCTTCAGTGACAGTTTAAACCTTCGATTTTAGTTTAAACTACGATTGATGTTACGGGCCTTAGATGCTTAAAGCGCTACTAGATTCTCGTCGACAGATGGCGCTGTACTTAAAAATACACGGAAGCTTCCGGTACCTTTTTTTTTATTGCCTTTGTAGGTAGACGAGCATACGGCCCATCTGTTAGTGAGCGGTAGCCGTCGCCAATGGACAGCAATGCCAGGAACAGCGCTGCCTACCGGCTGCAATTACAACTGTTTTCTGTTTACGATATATATCTATCTATTGTATAAGGTATTAGGTCCTAATGTATGATAAGCTTCTATTATCGCTTATTTAAATCACAAAGTAATCATCTCAACTCTCACTCAGGTCTGAAGGAAAAAAGATATTCACTTTATTCCCATGCAACTGAAACATCGACGGTTTTACGGCCAATCAACTCTTTTCAGCTACGTTTGTCAAGTAATTCAGTGCTTCGTACACGATTCTTCCAAAAATTAGTTGTGTTACTGCTCGCCAATAGATGTCGCTATTCGTACTTAAGCTAGGCGAAAAAGTAGACATGTTGAATGCATTTAAAGAATAGACCGTCGGAGAATTATTTTTAAGTAATTATCTGCGTTTTTTTTTCCCTACCTAAGCTGATAGCCTTGAGAGACTATTTCAGCGTAACCTTAGCTAGCAGGTGAGCTCACGGGGCTCAAACCGGAGTGATGCTAACACTGACCCTAGCAAGAGCAGTGCTTCGCAGAATCTACCACCGGATCGGAAACGCGACCCACTGAGAAGAACCGGCGAGAAACTCAGTGGGCTGTGTCTATGGGTTAAGCATTATCTGCGTGATGTGGCTTCAATAGCCCCACCCCATTTATTCCTGTGGTCGTAAAAAGTCACTGAGAGATTCACGGGAGAATATTCTGCAGCGTACTGCGATCACCAACTGGTATTTACTGGTGCTAGCAACTCTCTTACGGCATTTAGATACTACCCCCTGTCTATATTTGCTGCGAAGCATCCATACCTTCCCGCTTAATAACCGTTACAAGACTTCGATAAGATTTTGAAGTCGTCGTGGCCTAAAGGATAAGACGTCCGGTGCATTCGTATGTAGCGATGCAACAATGTTTGAATCCCGCAGGCGGGTACCAATTTTTCTAATGAAATACGTACTTAAGAACGTTCACGATTGACTTCCACGGTGAAGGAATAACATCGTGTAAAAAAAATCAAACCCGCAAAATCGTGATTTGCGTAATTCATGGTGGTAAGACCTCGCATGAGTCCGCACGGGTAGGTACCGCCACCCCACCTATTTCTGCCGTGAAGCAGTAATTCGTTTCAGTTTGGAGCCTTTGTAACTATACTGAGACCTTAGAACTTATATCTCAAGGTGGGTGGCGCATTTACGTTGTACATGTCTATGGACTCCAGTAACCACATCTATTCATCATCTAAGCAATAAAAAATAGAAATAAATCTCAAAGCGGGTAGCCTATTCAACTTACCATACCTGTGAATCAAAAAAGCAGCTGAAGTGAACGGCTGAAAAACAAATAAATTGGTGATAGGTTGAGATACATATAAATGGGTGAGACTGCTTGCAATTTACCTCTCTATTGAAGACCGGCGAATAAGCTAGCCATCTATTGTAATGTTACGGAGCCCATAGTTAACGGAATATGAATGCGGAAATCCACTTCGAGTTTGGAGATCTACAATACAATAGTATCCGGTTTTCCGCGATGTAGGGATAACGTGTTGTAGTAAAAATCAATTTCATAAATACATTTTAGGGTTTATTTTATTTTGAAGATACTCTAAAAACGAATAAAATTTGATAGCTTTTTTAAAATATTTTTTGCATTTAAAAGTCAACGTGATTTAATGTAAATTCAAATCGTAGAACCAAAATGGATGAACTAAACGATACTATTAGTCTTCTATTAGACAGACAGAAAATGTCCCTTCCTATAGCACGATGCAATGGATATAATCCTGGAGTTATGGGTCCTGGATATAAGCCAAGGAGCGTTGATGTCAGTGCGTCATGCCACTGTCGCTTTAAGCCTCAAAACGAAGTTCTGCTACCACCAATCCTTTAACTAAGAAATCTGACGAGTATAGTCTCCGGGTGATGGCGAAAGACCATCGTTGCCCATGGACATCAGTTTGTTTAAATAGTGCGCGTTTTTTAACGTTCTCGACAGCGTAAAAGTTAACTCAAATTTGTATGGTTTTGGAACGTTTGCCTACGTTTGCCGCTAGGGGCGCTGTTAACGCTATCGAGAACTTTAAAAAACTCGCACTAAGCACACGCCTAACCTACATGGGATGGCGGGATTGCCCCAGAAGGCTTTTGAAGTCCATGGGCGACGGTAGCCACTCACCATCGTGTGAGGGGTATGCTCGTCTGCCTATAGGGCAATAAAAAAGGCTTTTCAAAAGGTTCGCACGGGCACAGCCAGGATAGATGGAATTTACTGATAATTGCCCGAGCGCCTCCGAAGAAGACTTAACTATTCAAGGGCAGTAGCTCCGCGAATCTACTACCGGATTGAAAAGGCAATCAG